TGTTGTACATAGGGTCGCTATGAGTCGCAGGCGACTCGACGGCACATAACAACAACAACAACTGGTGGCCTAGTGGCAAGAAGCTGCACTGCAATCCCAAATGCACGCAGTTCAAGGCCACCAGCTCCGCAGGAGGATGGGAAATTTCCTTCCTTGCGATTAACGACCTCTGAAAATCCACTGGATGGTCAGCTATGAGTCAGTACACAACAACAACATATTCATATTATAGTTCAAAGAACATATACATTTGCTTCTCTATTTGAAACAATTACCTTTAATTGTTTCCTCCACAACTTCTACCACACGATCAATCTGTTGGACCTAGAAAAGAAAAGGAAATATTTAAACAAACAATACACAGGGATAAAAGAAATTCATTTATTCTTATGCTCAAAGAATGATTCAACATAATGATGATAGAGAAAATACTGAATTTGTCAAGGATTTCATTTTACTTGAATCTGTCAATCGCAAAGAAACAGTAAAGAAAGCAAGTGACCCAATTCATTCATTGGGTAAATCTACAGTAAAAGATGCTGTAAAGCATGCTATTTTGAGAACTAAAATATGCCTGACCCAAGCCATGGCATTATTGAGTGCTTCCTATGCATGTGAAAGATGGACAATGAATCGAATGGCTGAAGAATATTGAATGTCATTGAATTCCGGTGGTGGTGAAGAATACAAAACACATAATGGAATGCCAGAAGAACAAATATATCTTCGAGGAAGGAATACCAGAATGTCCCTTGCAAGCAAAAACGGCAACACTTGATCTCTCTTACTTTATATACATTATCAAGTGAGATCAGTCCATGGAGACATATGCTTGGTAAAATAAATGTCAGTGGAAGAGAACTTGCACAGAGACAGACTGAGGCAGAGGCTGCAATGACAGGCTCAAGCACAGCAACCACAGTGAAGATGCTGCAGGACAAATCAGGGTTCTCTTCAGAAGAACACAGGGTTGCTATGAGAGAAAACCTCTTCAACTATCCCTAACAATAACAACACCAAAATTAATGTTACAAAGTGTCTCGAAGTATATGAATAGAATTTGTCAATAATTAACGTATACGGACACATTTTTTTAAAACTCTATGTTCATGCTCTGGGATACAATGAAGTATGAAAACATCATCTATTTTTGAGTAACAGTTGCAGAAATCCAATTGCATGGAAATAAAGTGCAAGGTACTTTATTAGGTGGCCTAGTGGTAAGAATCTGCCCTGCAATCCCAAAGGAACGAGGCGTGAATCCACCAGCTGCTTCAAGATAAAAAGATGGGCAATCTCCTCCCTTGTAATTAACCACCTCTGAAAACCTGCTAAAGGATCAGCTATGGGTCAGTTCCAACTCCATGGCACAAGACAGCATCAACATTACAACAATACATCCTGATACATAAAGATACGATGTATACTTACTTAAAACATGCCTTTTTAAACAGTTTCCAAAGGGGTAAAAATCCAGTATAAAATGAAAGCTAGTATTAAGGAGATCTGCTCCAAAATCTAGATTTTATTATTTTTATATTCAGAACCCTTTTAATATATTTCTACCAAACACTGGGTACTGTACTCAGTGCCACGGAATACTGTCAAATAATACAGCTCCTGCCCACGAGATCTGTGATTAAGAAAGATTTCCCAAGGTGCCTTTGGAACACAGAGAGAAAGTAATAAAATCAGATTTAAAGGCCTGGAAATACTTCGTAAGGAGTAAAAGATGATTCTTGAGAGATAAATAGGATTCAAATATAAGGCACTCACTAGGGAGACTGAGTAAGAGTGCAGAGAGTTTAGGGAAAAAACAAAAAAAAAACAGAGTACTGTTTAAGAAGTTAAGGGAAGAGAGGAAGTAAAGAATAGGTTAAAAGGCTATTGCATGTGCTTTAAAAGTTCTCAAAATAACAGTATTTAATTAGAGAAGGAATTCACCAAAATTTTTCAAGCAAAAAAAAATCAAAACAAAGAGAATAGCCCAAATAGCTATTACCATCCTCTATCCTCCTTTTTATCTGCTCGGGTGAAATCCCTCGTGATGTACAGGTATAGTCTAAGACATGTTCTGCTGCTGAACACACAGAGCTTTGTACTTCAGTGTTTCTTCTTTTTCACACACACAATCACACACAAATAGTGTATGTGTAATATAAAAGGCTTTCCACTTGACTTTTGTTTTAAACATTCCAAGTACACAGAGATCTATTTCATTCTATTTAATAGCTCTCTAGGGAGCTCTGGTGGCCTAGTCGTTAAGGAGTTGTATTGCAAACACAAAGGCACAGAGTTTGAATCCACTAGCTCCTCCACAGGAGAAAGCTGGGTAATCTCCTCCTCTGTGATTTACCACCTCTGAAAATCACTGGATAGGTCAGCTATTAGTCAGGTCTGGCTCCATGGTACAGACCTACAATAGTCTCACTATATGTTAAGTACCATCAAGTTGCCTGAAACACATAGCAATCCTAGGTATAGCAGCTCTGAAGCCTGCCCTGTCCTGAGCTAGTCTCATTGACTCTGAAACACTTATCCTCACTGCCACAGTTACTGTACCAATCTATCTCGTCCTGGGTCATCCTTTCATGTGCTGTCCCTCCACCTTTCTGAGGATAATGTCCTTCTCCAAGGACCAGTCCCTCCTGGCCCCGTGCCCAAAATATGTGAGATGAAGCTTCAAAAATTCTAGCTTTGAGCATTGACCTATTTGTTTTCTTGGTGGTCCATGGTATGCTCACTGTATGGATGTATGACATTCATCCATTATGAACTTTCAGGATATTTCTAACCTTTCATTACTATAAAACAAAGCTTCAACAAACTCCAATGACATAAAGAGAATATCTGTAAAGATTTTATTGAAAAAAGAGTAGCCAATTCTTTAAAAATATTTCTTTGCTTTTGAGAGGAGCGAACTGGGGGCGTTGGGGAGGGAGGGCTGGGCGGGGAGAGAAGTGCAGCAATGACTGAATGGAAATCCAAATTCTCTGTAAATGTTCATTAAAAATCATTAAAAAAATAAAATAAAAAAATATTTCTTTGCTCTCAGTATCTTACAGGAAATAAGGGAAGACCTAGGAAAATACACTTGAATCAAACATTAAAAAAACAAAGAACAAAACCTTTAACCATTAGCCTAACATGAGAGCAACAACAGCAAGAATGACTGATAAATTCTCAAAGAAAATAAAAGTTTAATATTTAGCCCTCTACAAATCAATACCACCTAGAGACATGTTCAACTCAACCACCTTGAATCATTAAATTAAAAAAAAACCCAAACCAACTCTCCTTGTCATGGAGTCAGAACCAATATATCGTGGACCCTATAGCAAGTTGGCAAGGCTGTAAATTATCCAAGAGTAGATTGCTCTTCTTTCTCCCTTGGAGTCGCTGGTTAGTTCAATGAATTAAATAAGTGAGGTGAATGATAGTGAATCACAAATAACAGTAAGAGTTAATGCTGACAAAGGGGGTTCTGTTATCATGGTCTAGAAGAAGTTAGATGCCTGCTAACACGAACTTGCTTTTCTGGCAGTTCAAAAGCAGCAGTAGCTCTGTGAGAGAAAGAAGCAATTTCCTCTAGTGTGATCAATAGCCTTGGAAATCTGACAGGAGACAAGCTATGAGTCAGTTATGACTCAACAAGGTTGAGTTGCTTTGAGTTCTAATAAACTACACTTCCAACCAGATGGTTAGAAAGGAAAGGGGGTAGGAGGGAATGAGTCTTGGTAGGTAAAAGAAATAAAATTGTTTTTGTCATTGGTGTTAGGTGAGTAGACTAAGATTCATAGCAGCCCTGTGAATAACAGGTCTGTACTTGGCTCTAACCTAAGCCAACCTCTGTCTCTGTCTCTGAAACACCTCACACTATGCCACAGTCATGGTACCTACCAATCCATCTGATCCAGGGTCTTCCTCTCTTGCACTAACCCTCCACCCTTTCAAAAATGATGTCCTTCTGCAAAGACTGGTTCACACTGACAAAATGCCAAAGTATGCGAGATAGAGTTTCAAAATCTTTGCCTCCAATTTACAACCTAGTTTGACAAACAGAACAGACCTGTTTGTTCTCTTGGCAGTCTATGGTATGTTGAGTATCCTTCTCCAGCACCACAACTCAAAGGCATCGATTCTTCTTCTGTCATCCTTAGTCACTGTTCAGCTCTCTGATACACAGCAAGCAACTGAGGAAACACACCTTAGCCTTTAGACTGACATCATTGCTCTATAGCACTCTGCTGAGGTCCTCCGCAGATTTTCCCATTGCAACTCATCTTCTGATTTCCTGACTGCTGGTGCCAAGGGTGTTGACTGTGGATCTTACCACAATGAAATCATTAGCAACTCCAATCTTTTCTTCATTTATCTTAATGCGGCCTATTGGTCCAGTGGTGAGGATTTTTGTTTTCTTGATGTTGTGATGCAACGATCCCCTCAGAACTAGCTTGCTTTTCTCAGAGTCTAACAGTTCTAACAAAGAGTTACGTGGATGAATTAAAGATCCCCCCCATGTAATCATTCATTTATCAATAACTGAGCCTGTGACAAATACCAAGAGGTAAAGAAAAGTAAAGAAACAGCACTGAGGGATCTCTTCTCAAAGCTCCAACAGACTACACAAAGATGGCATTTTGAAAAGACAATGATGAAATAGCTAAGGTGGAGAAAGAAGAGCCAGAAAGGAGAAATGAAGTGGAAAAGGGTCAAGGGAAGAAGGAGCAAAGGAAAGTAAGACAAGCAGGAAAGGACAGAGAAAAGTGAGGAATTGCAAAAGGAAAGTAAAAGAACACTGACAGTTATAATCAGAGCACAGATGGGAGTGACTTAGAATGTTTGTAAAAGAAGCAAGATTCAAGATCCGGTCATCAGAACAAATTACTAAAGAGATGATGGTGATGACTAGTGAAGTTGAATTGTGAGAAAGGTAAGCTGATGGTGTTAGTGAGAAATTACACACAGACACCCAGATTGCCAGGATAACAGAGACATGGAATAGAGTAGGGAAGAGGTGACTGAATTTCCCAGTGAGTCTGCGTAGATCACCTAGGTATCATAGTGAGGGCGCTGTTGTTGTTATGTGCCATTGAGTCAGAATTCTCTGGTACCTGAACCTCCAACATGTTTTCAGAGGTTGTAAATCAAACGACAGGAGACTGCACCCTTTTTTCACAGAGGCAGTGGTGGTTGTTGTTGTTTTTGTTATGTGTCGTCGAGCTGCTTGAGACTAACAGCGACCCTATGTACAACAGCCTTAAACTCTGCTCTATCCTGTGCCAATCGCACTCTTACACTCCCATCCCATTACCCTAGTCACT